GAGCATATCTTGCCAGGTTACAGGTGAGAAATGGGGTAAAAGCTACTGTATGATGTCTAGAGCTGTAACGCTCAATATTGATCCTAAGACGTTACCAGTCAAGCCGGTTAGGCTGGCGAAACAGTAACGTATTATGCGGAAAGTGATTTCCGAATTGACGAATTTCAGAAGTGCACAAACAGACGCAAAGATGAGAATATAGAAAGCGCAAACTCATAAGCGGTCTTGTTGAATTCGTTTCGCTGCTTCTGGCAAAGGATAAGCTCTGCAGCCTCCTTAAAAATGAACACGCCGTTGGCAATACATGCATGAAGAGACCTTGCTTGCTGCGGAGGTGGGGCACGCGGCGTTGTGAAAAGAAATTCGCGGCGCTAGTATGTATGGCCTATATATAGCAAGATTTTTACGCTTAGAGATCCGAAGCGGACACACACTTACGAATCCGAAGCGGACAAACCACTGGCATCTTCCTCTCTTTCCACCAGCGACATTTGTTCTTCTAGGACCACGTTTTCTAAGAGTCCTCTGAAGCTATCTCTGCAATTTGGAATTTCTTCCACTGCTAGTTGAGGTCAACTGACATGCACACCGAGCGTGGAGATCTGCCAAATCTCGCTGTTTTGGATTCGACGGGTGCATAAACTCTCGGACGAGGCGTAATTGACTGCTGGCGCTTATTGGATATAGCTCACCGAGAACAGCTTCCAAAGTTCATTGAGAGTGTCTAAAAAACCCCGGCTTCGAAATTTCCATCATTCCTGATCTGGTCCGCCTTTTAAACTGGCCCAACTGACATCGATGCAGATCCATACAGAGAGATTTATATAAAGATTAACGACATCAATTAACGGAAGAACGAGGGGTGACAAGGAAACGATAAAGAATGAACTAAGAATATCTATCTTAGAAAAAAAAGGTTGCACACACATGTTTACAATAACGTCGAAATCTGGCTTCGTTCCGACATTCTAGGTTCAAGGTATCGAAATCTGTTGGTTTCGACATTTCAAGTTCAAGGTGTCGAAATCTGGCTTGGTTTCGACACTCTAAGTTCAAGATATCAAAACCGTCACTTTGCTGCACAGGGTGCGTTTTCGTGCAGCGCGCGACAACACGCTCTGCGGCGGCTTTGGCCTATCAAAGGAGAATAGAGATTGTGGCGTGCGTGACGTGTTGAGCAAGGCTCGGCACAGATCGTTTGTAAGCAGGCTGGACTTCGTTTTGGAGCAAAAAGCAAAGATGTTGTTTTTGATAAGTTAGGTCCGAGCACCAAGAATAAGCGCCATTTAGTCGAACACAAGGTTTTCACACTGGTTATCATACGATTGACATGGAGCATTCTCTGGAGTATATATTTCTGTCAGTTCAAATAAGTTGTAGATTTTTCTATCATAGAAGATTCCCCGGTCATATTCCTATCCCTGAGCATGACGACGTTTTCATATCATTGCCATTCCTTTGTTTTTTGCCTTAATTTCTTCATAATTTGCTTTGTTAATTATCGCGCTCCAATGCCAAACTCTTGTGCATGAGTAGTATTCATCTCCAACTTGGATTTTCACTCTTATCTCACGTTTTTTCCTTCAAATTAGTCAATCTTCCTTGTTTTCACTTTCTCCTAAGTAGGTAGGTAGGTCAAAGGGAACTTCGTAAAAATTCCGAAAGTCAGGGGAGACTTCGTTTTTAGAAACCCTAAAAACCGACTCGTGCCGGGCGGGCCGTGGTGTTGATACAAGTCAAAGTCAGGGTGGCGCTGGAGACGGCCCGTGCGGAAAAACAGTCTCCGCACACGCCTTTAGCAGGAGTTGTGGAGTGGACGATAATTGAATATTGTAGCGCATCAGCTGGGTATGCTGATGCGGAGGGCGTCTGGCGTGTAGCAGAAAAATACAAGAAAAGAACTTTATTCAGAGAAGGCCGGAACAGAACAATAACAATAAGAACGATAACAAACTGGCCCGTGGCCTTTTATAGCCGCGCGAATACAAAGTACCTCATGATCTACAATCATACTCTATTATAAAGCGCAAGCACCCCTGTATGAGTCAGCGCGTCTGTATGTCGGCATAAACATGTCTGTATGTCGGCTCCAGAGAGCGATCAAGCAGTGATCCTTAGCATTCGCCAGACTACCGTTGCATTCGAATACGTAACCAATTGATTACACTCAAGAGATTCTAGAAGATTCAAAATGGTATCCCGGCTGGAACAAATGTTGACTGATCGGTCTATCTCCAAGCCATTGACACAAACCAGCCCAAATCTGTTGGTATCTTCTGGCGATTTGTTACCGTTTCTCCAATTGCTCTGACATCGCGCAACATTCCATGTCTTAATTTCGCTTTCAAAATAACATCATGCGTGGCTAAGGTTTTGAGTATTATAGTCAATGTTTTGATCCTGGCTTCATCAACAGGATTCGCAAAAAGCGATTTTACGTTGAAAAAGTCCCTGTGTTTACTTCGGTTGTATTTTTTGAACCTTTTCTGTGGTGGAGGAACGAACACCTCAATTAGGCACCGCCTTTGCTGACTACTGGTCCTAACACGATGCACAGCAATAGGACGAAAGGACCAGCAGTCCATGGAAGCGGTGCCTAGTTGAGGTGTTCGTTCCTCTACCCCCTTTTCTGATCTCTTTGTTAATTCTTACACTTCCGCTTTGAAACTCACATCAACAAAATGCTTCTTGGCTGTTGCATTCACCATGGTCAAGTAATCCTGTCCCATGTTTTAAAAGCAATTTAAAGGCAGTGGCTCGGCAAATCTCAACCTAGTCAAATTTTCACTTACCTGGGGTTATTTAATACGCTGATCGCGAAAATCCACTTCAACAGCTCGAAAACGGCGAAAACGAGCGTTTTTCAACCCCCTTCCCTTCAAATTGGACGAGTGGAGCAAGGCTGATGACGCTGAATCGTTGCGGGACCCAATGATTATAGCATTGCGGCGGGCACGCTCCAATGGTGAGAAGGAAGTTGTCTACTCGTCCGGGTGCGTGTAAGACTGGCTTGCACGTGTAAAGTTAAGAGCGATTTTCTCGACAGGGAAGGCATGCTGTGCAACCGAGATTGCACTGTCTTCATAACTGGACGATAAGGAACCTACTGCTTTAAGATCCTGGGTTGTCAAGTTTTGCCGATCCACTACCTGTATAGGCAGTGAATCGGCAACATTTGAGGTGCGGGGTTTTCACCGATTTTGGGCCTTCTCGACCCCTTGGTGACCTTTTTTCCGCATGAAAATGGTGAAATCCCCGTCTTTGGGGACCCCTCAAAAGGAGCCTGTACGAAGCGACCCGGTTCGGCTCGGTCCGACTCTCGCGTCCGCCGCAAGTTTTGTGGTTAGGGACGCAGAGGATGAATCCGTGGTTAGGAAGGTCGTCGGAGAATACTGTTTTTTTTTTTCGAAATTTCGTCATGTAAACCGTTGTTTTGTAGAATGCAAATGCTGCGAAATAGCCGTTATCATTGGAGCGCGTTTTCGACCTTGGGCTTAAATTTTGCCTAGTCCGCTTACGACGAGCTACAGTAGGAAAAGGGCCCTTTATGAAGTGTTACTGCATACTATGGTGGTCCCCGTCCAGAGATGAGGAATTCTCCAAAATGCTGTTTACGATTGTGATATCATATGCGTTGGAATAGTGATCTTGAGCTCAGTTAACGTAAAGCATGCTTTAGATCCAACGCGAGTTCGAAAGGTGACGTCAAGGATAATCAAAATTAGGCAAAAAGTGTGACAGTGCAAAATTAACACGATATTTGTGAACAGTTTGTCATATAAGACCCTATTCTTTGCGAAACCGAAATCTGAGATTATAAATTTCTGTGTTGTACAAAGTGGAAGAGTGTCGCTCATTCCTTCGAAGTCATTCGTGTAAACACTTCCTTGTCTAGTGATGGGTTTATTCACCACATAACACATTTTCCTGTCTGCATGAGATTGCTGAATGGAACACCGAACATGCCTTTACTTTGGTTTTTCTATTATTCAAATCGAACAACGAACGGAACGGTCAGAAAAACGGACAGAACACGTCCTAGAATATGATTAGATGGCATGAAGTAAAGCATCTGATCTACAACAACTGATAACAAAACAAGTCCATGTCCACAAACATAATGAATACCTTCAACCTAGAAAAGGACAACTCAGAGCCTAATAAATCATGGCAGTGTGGCACGTTGAAAAGATGATGACGCAAAAGTTCGATATAAAGTGAAGAAATTGAAAGTAGAAAAAATTCTAACATGTCGAAGTTCTAGGAACAACATTTTCGTTAGGATCAACAATCCTTGGGTCGCGTCTTCTAAAAGCATATCCACAGAAGCTAATACTCCTGAAAGAACAACTCACATGTCCTGTTCCTCATTGTACTGCATCTCTAGGATGCCTTCTCCACAGTTTCTGCATTGTCGGTCGCTTACACAGTCCAAGTGAACCCACATCTGGCAGAAACCGCATTGTATTGATTTCAGTCGCATTTGTCTCTGCCGGCGTGGTTTCTTCACAATATCCGCAGATGACCGTTTCATCATCAACGATATCCTCTACGATAAACGCTGGAGGAAGTTTTGCAGCGCGATCTCGAGTGCTTCTCTGAAATAACAGATTGGCCGTCCTTCGTTGAGATGATTTTCTAAGAGATAGGTTATCTCACCTTCATCAAATGCTCGATACTGGCTTACAAATTCCCTTTTGCAATTGCTTGGTGGTATTTCTCGGTCGGCCTAAATGTCGCAAATCTCTTCTTTTAGATAGTCTTTGGAAATTATCTAAACGAGAATCTGTAAATCGCATCATTTGCAGAAGCTATGTAAAAAGGGAAAAACCAACATGACGCAGTGCATTCACGTAGTAGCTCGTTGGCCTTCAACAACATTTGACCAAGTTTGGTCTTCGCCCCTTCGGTACCTTGATTTTCTAGCTTGTGCGCCTCGATTGTAATAAGATCAAGCACCTAAATACAACTATCAGCAAGTTGATCGTCTGGAGAAAGCGTCACTTAGCCGTCCAGCTGAAATTTGAGTTCTTTACATCGTGTCGCGATATCCACTTGCGTCTCCTCGTTGATAGCAACCAGAACGGTATCGAGCATTTGTTCGTCTTCAGGGTAGGAACAGTAGGTGCGATATTCTCAGCGTCTTCAGAACATGCCGTAATCGCTAAGGTCTCTACACAACCACTATCTGAATGAAAAGATAAAGGTTAAAAGCAATAATATTGAAGAGAAGCGATCACCGTCATGTTGCATTTGCCAGTAATGCAGATGTTTACAAGATATGCCACTTTTCAGATTGTCAGGGCAGGTACAGAATGTGCTGTAGGGGCAGAGCCCACAGAGTGAGCAGTGTGAGCCCTACAAAGAATCAAATCATCGACAAGTACCACTCATCACTTTAGCTCACTTTTCTCAAAAGAGAGCAAGTGTAAGTGCTGTTCGTGATAGTATAGGAAGTATCCTCAAATTCAATGGTCCACCTGTCCTGTGCAATCCGTCTCAACGTAAAAACGTTGTCCAGCGATTTTTTGCGCCTCCTCAGATTTTCAATCATCTGGTTTTGCCCTCAGTCAAACTTCGAGCATCCTGCAAATTTCCACAATATTATGGGGTAAGAAAGCTCGGAGAAATCCTACAGATATTTCGTGCCCACGCTTCAAATCCTCCACAAGGTCAATCAGGCATTGAATGAGGAAGTCGACACGAGAATTTGTCGTCTTGTTCAGATAAGAGTATTTGAGCAATCGATGGAAGCGTTCGTTGAACATGGTAGTATTCATTGAACTGTTCCTCCTGGCATAGGGCGCCCATTCTTCCTTTCGAGACAGGTAGTTCTGGCGGAAGTAGTTTTCAAAATCTTCGGATGCGTGTCTGAGTTCAATAATTTCGTGTCCTTTCAATTTTTCAAGTAATGTGAGGAAATAACAAAGCAACCTCTTCCACAGAGGTTTATTGGCTTCTACGAAAAGTGCACGTAGGGCCGCTCTAAGTTCTTTCTGTTTCACATCATCCTCCTTTTGAAAACTGACCCTTAATCTCTCATAAACTGCGCACAAAACATGCCAAGCGCAGAGGTACTTCTTTGTCCGAGCTTCGTTTTAGGAAACACTTCAAGATAAGCTTTCCAAAATGTTCCGCAACATCAGTCATGAGGCTACGCGGGCAGAATGTTGGCCAAAGGTTTTTTACGACTTCAAAAATCCTCGATACTGTTGCTGAATCCATTTTCGACGAGAGCATGAATGCAACCGGAAGGCCTCTCCTAAGTTCGTCCACCGTCATAATCGTAAGCAGCTTCAGATTATAGCGACATGTTTTGTGGGTATCATCCGCACTGATTCCTTCGCTACCATGCGTCTTCAGCCAGTCCAACTGCGTCGGGGTTATGATTATTAGGCAGAAGTCGGAAGAATTTTCATCTGGGGTTTGAAAAAACTGGATTCCATCATTATTATGTTTTTCTTGCACACGCAGTGCAATCGACTCTAGGTCGTTCTCGTGACGTTTTCCCGGCTGCACGTCAAGTGCTTGCGCGACACTGCGCACATCCTGCGCCGTGCACCAGTACATCCTCTCGGTTTTGTCTTGATGAGCTTCGCGAAGAACCCGTGTGGTACGCGGCACGGAAAACCTGCAGCGCAAAAGTCTCACTATTTCTTCGGCATCACGGGACGACAGTGGAAGAAACTGTGGTTGGAGGCCATGACCGATATGCGTGCTGCAGTACTCTACATGGATTTTCTTGTTCAAAAAATCGGTTCTCGCTTGAAAATGGAATCTGAAAAAGGAAAGCAAGGACGCGTACCCTAACACTACCTTCAAGAATGCCGTACACGACTTATGCGGAACCTTAGTGTGGGACCTACGCGCACCCGTTGACTTAGTTTTAGCTGAACCCGATCTAAAAGTTCAAAAATGGAAAACGATGTGCAAGAAAGTTCCACTATATGTCATTGACCCGCAAATGTCACAAAAAAATAAAGCATCAATAAGAAGATGTATAGAAAAAATCAATACGTGAAATGAAACTAACCTGTGGCACTTGTAAGACAGATACTCTATCTCATTCCACTTCTTCGTGCTTCTTATACTATAAAAGATAACCGTCTCCTTCTCGATGTCCTCTTTCCAAACCTAAAATTATAGACGTTCGTTTTTTGATGTGTTTTACAAAGTCATGACTTACTTTGAAAGCAGCGAAGCTCGTAAAATCGACTGTTTCGACACCTCCTCGAAACTGATGTTGCTGCTCTGCATGAAGGATTAGTGCTTTTACGTCACGTAAGCGCAGAGAGCATAAAGGGCATTCTTCATGACATGGTCCGTCCAAGCGTGCGTGATTCATTCTTTTACAGTGCTTGTAAAGTGCTGCGGCGTTTGGCGCTATGTATTTGCAATCCTTTTCAATGCATGGAAAGTAAGCTAGATCCGGCTCAATATCGCCTCCGTTCGTTTCAGCATGATCGCCCCGCATTTCATGCCTAAAGGACTGAGGTGAGAGGGCTAGAACATCTTTGTAACAAAGATACCAACACTGCGGTAAGTCCAGCAACATTTGTTGTTACCATCAAAGACTGCGGCAATATGCTGGCTTCACTCGTGGATGGTAAACTAGAAAGAAAAAGCGCTGAACGGAAGATTTTCTAATAACCTTTTAAGCTAGAAAAACACAAAGTTTTGAAGATGAAGGGAATACAAATACAAACTGGGCGCTGTTCCCATTATCAGGGTCTCAAAAACTCCAAAGAGTATATTTCGCCCAAACTCGGTCCAGGGGGTTATCGACCTGCTGACCACGTATATCGTACTCTTTTTGCACAGCATCATCAGATTCAGTGGTTCCGATGGGGACGCTAGTGGCTCAAAATTACGACTTGGCTAATTCTTGTCTGGGAGGGTTGTTCGACATTATCATGGACTAGCTGGCTTACCCGGCTCTGCCGTATGTTCCGAATAGAAAATTCCATTTCTTAACCGATCCGGACCAAACTTGGCACACATACACTTCGGGCCCCGGCGGGTGTTGCAGTCCATTTTTCGTTATCGATTGATGTCGATTTTATCGATTTTTTGCAAAATTTTAGCTAGGGGGCTGGGATTTGGCACAGGGGGTAATCGAGCATGCTGATTATGAATACAATATTAGTTTTCGAAACCGTGCATTACTTTTATCGATTTTATCGATTTTTTGCAAAATTTGAGCTACGGGGCTGGGATTTGGCACAGGGGGGTAATCGAGCATGCTGATCACCCCCATGGACATACAGACATACAGACAGACAGACAAACAGACATTCAGCTTTATATATAAGATACCTAAGTTTTCTGCTCTACCACGTCGTCCTTGGTGGTGACCGTAACTTTAACGTATGCAATGAAGTCAGAAACACGGACAAAACTCTCAACAACAACGACAAAGTTCTGAACAAAAATTCAGGAATATCGAGGTTTAATTTTAATTACAACCGAGTTTCGGCAGTGATAAGCCGAAATTCGGTTTCGAGTACATTCAACTTGCTATTTTTCAACAACGTTTTTTTTGCAAAAAGCTAAGATGACAAGTCTAGCATGTGAGAATGGTGGTCAGGTGATGTAAAAGAGAGTCGAGAACACAAACTTCTGATTGAGCCTCTCATCATACACCATCATAAACACCCAATGACGTTTTCAAAGCATAATGTTTCGACCAGCATGGTCAACACTCCCAATAGACTGAGCAACAGCGCCGAGAACTGGTCATGTCTTGCCACTTTTTCGACAAAAAGAGATATTAACATACCAGTAGTCTCTGATGCTCTCGTCCAGCTTGTTTCTTTCCACGTTTATTCGATCCGACAGAGGAACGCCGCTTCCACCGGACATTTTTCCACAAGAATTGCACTCTGGAAAGTGAACAATATGAAACAATTACAGAATGACAAATAACGAGCAAAGCCGAGAGTAGAGAACATCTAAAAGGGAAAGGTCCATGATTCATGCAAGGAAAAGAACACATGTTACGAAACTGGAGCACAACGCCAAGTCCTGAGATAAAATCGCGCTCCAATGATAACGGCCATTTCGCAGCATTTAAGTTCTTCTTAGCTTTTTGATTTCTTGCGCTCGTTTTTGTCCTCGAGTCCAGTTAACGAGTTTTTTATTTTCAGGGTATCTCTATGTCTTATGCTGATGTGTATCGGCCTAATATCATTACCTGGATATGTTGTGCGGGTTCAGCTTGTGCCATTGTACCCTTTTTGGCTCATTCTCCGCATGGGTCTTAAAGCGGTCTGGAAGATCCTACATAATTCTAGCAGTGAAATTTCTCATAGTCCTACTACGTGTGGATTCATTGTTTACTTTCACTCTTATGGTCGAACATCGTACCCAATAATTCAGGGTCCCTCTCATTGTAGGTTTTCGTTCATATCAGTTATATAGTTTACTTGTATACACGAGGCGTGCTATCAAAGTAAGCCTTCTCATGTAGTTTCATGTTGAGCGAATCATCATTCCACGTGTTTTCTTATCGAGGTTGTTGGCGTGCGTTTATGCGTTGTCTCTGATGAGTTGATATCTAAAGCCTTTTTGTGTGTCATGATTTGCAATTTAGCGACCTGTTTACAAACCCATGGACCAGCACCTGTAACATCAGGAAGTTTGGATTCGTTGTTTGGGGCACAATGTACAGGATAAGCACTAGTCATAATCTCATTCACTCTTTGTTGCTATTCAAGTGAAATGGTCTTTTTATGCCATTTTGTTCACTATCAAAGTTTTCTTAGTGCAAATGCTCTACTTCATGCTTGTGACTTTCATATTTTGGCAGGTCGGTTATTGCCGCAGATTATCTCGTATGCATGGTTGTTCCATATCGCAGCCTCTACAGTAAAAAATCGATTTATTGATATCTTATCTGCCCGTGACCGCACTTGCTGTAATAGGTGCGATGGTCTGAGATGGGTACCCTCCAAAGTAAAGGGGGTCTCGGCTGTTTTTGACCCTCAAAAGTAAGGGTGTCCAAAAATTGCGGACGTCGACCGGGGGGGGGGGGTGGGGGAGTTGAAAAAATTTGACTTTAATTTTTCAAACTGAAATTTTAATAATTTTCCAATTTTTTGATTTAAAATTTTCTAAATTTATTTGTATAAATTTTAACATAGTTAGTAAAATGTTCTCAAGCGCTTTTCTTGATAAATATCATTTCATTATCATCTACCATAATGCGGGAAACGAAGCAAAAATCGGGACCGGACCCCCCTCACTGGGACGAAGCAGGTGCTGAGGTGAGAAAATACTTAGTTTAAAGTTGAGATATCGTAGTTGAGAAATCCAATTTTAAGAACTTTATGGGACAGCAATAACGAGTTGGCATGGAAGGGCGCATGGTCATGAAACGAATTGCTGGAGTGGAGCCTTCACGTGGGCGTGTTGTACGAGACTCGGAAAAAGACATTTTGTGGTTGCAATGTGGCTATGAATCAAATAATTTGCCATTGTATTGTGTGTATAAGGATAAACAATAAAAGGAAATGTTGTGTACAATCGAAGGTGTAGATAGCGAGTGAGGTTTGGTTGAGGCAGGTTTGATTGCCAACTATACCCCCCTTCGAGCCAAAAAATTCCCATATCTCGGTGGAGGGGTCCTCTCATGATCTGATTTCTTTTTTATCTTGTAGAGGAGAATGCACTTGATACAACTAGGGCTGTTGCAAAAAGATCTGCTGAAGCAGGTCTTCTTGAGCTTGAATTTTACACAAAAAATCCATGCGCCTTCAACTCGGTTCTTCCTCTAAGCAGATCCTTTTGCGACAGCCCCAGTTATATCAAGTAGACCTCCCTCTACAAGCTGATGAAAAAAGTAGATCACGAAAAGACCTCACCGCTGAGACACGGACCGTCAAGTAGAACCATCAAATCGATTTTTTGCTATAACTCTTGTGTAAATAAACAGAAATAAACAAGGAGCTGGAATTAGAATCTACTCTTCAAAAGCTTTCGAATGATATATAATATGTGGGGGTTCCTTGTTCTTTTTCGCCCTGCGACAGGGGTTGTGACGATTCAGTTATGGCTTCTCAGCCCCGCCCACTTTAATGCATATGGAAGGGGGGATAGACCTGAGATTGCGTAACTGAATCGTCTCAACCCCTGTCGCAGGGCGAAAAAAAACAAGGAACCCCCACATATTATATATCATTCGAAAGCTTTTGAAGAGTAGATTCTAATTCCAGCTCCATGTTTATTTCTGTTTATTTACACAAGAGTTATAGCAAAAAAATCGATTTTGGATGATTCTACTTGACGGTCCGTGTCTCAGCGGTGAGGTCTTTTCGTGATCTACTTTTTTCACCAGCTTGTAGAGGGAGGTCTACTTGATATAACTGGGGCTGTCGCAAAAGGATCTGCTTTGAGGAAGAAGAGCAACAGCACCGAGTTGAAGGCGCATGGATTTTTGTATAAAATTCAAGCTCAAGAAGACCTGCTTCAGCAGATCCTTTTGCAACAGCCCTAGTTGTATCAAGTGCATTCTCCTCTACAAGATAAAAAAGAAATCAGATCATGAGAGGACCCCTCCACCGAGATATGGGAATTTTTTGGCTCGAAGGGGGGTATAGTTGGCACTCAAACCTGCCTCAACCAAACCTCACTCGCTATCTACACATTCGATTGTACACAACATTTCCATTTATTGTTTATCCTTATACACACAATACAATGGCAACTTATTTAATTTATAGCCACATTGCAACCACAAAATATCTTTTTCCGAGTCTCGTACAACACGCCCACGTGAAGGCTCCACTCCAGCAATTCGTTTCATGACCATGCGCCCTTCCATGCCGACTCATTATTGCTGTCCCATGAAGTTCTTAAAATTGGATTTCTCAACTACGATATCTCAACTTTAAACTAAGTATTTTCTCACCTCAGCACCTGCTTCGTCCCAGTGAGGGGGGTCCGGTCCCGATTTTTGCTTCGTTTCCCGCATTTTCGTTCCCTACACTCTGTAAATAAGTTCTTTTGCCTCAAATTCTACTCCATTTCAAGCATACTATCATCTCACCTCAAAAAAATTTTTTTCTCCGTTTAAAATGAAGGGGGGGGGGGTAGCCTAGGCTCCAAAGTGAAGGGGGTTGAGATTCATCTCAGACTATCGCACCTATGCTTGCTGTAGAGACTGCGGTAGGAAACAACTGTAACGTCTGCGAGCATATCTGGGCGACTTTGCTCAGATTGCTGACCTGCTGCGCTTAGCATTCGCGTAGGTGACTCATCACAGGACGTTCAACCGCCAGTAACGTTTACTGACGTTCAGCGTACGGGGATAAGGGCACTTCTACACAGTTGGTTTTGGTCTCTTTTGATTTGCAGGCTGGAATCGTGTAACAATTGTTTGGCTATGGATTATGTGACCACTCAGTGTGCGCGACCGCTCAGTGATATTGCTTTATCTATTCCCCATGTAGGCTTTTGTCCTGTTTGTCATAAATACTTCTTCATATACGCGGATTTCAGATGGCATACTGAAGACATTTCGCTGCAGGCCCTTATCAATGGCATTCGCAAGGACAAAACTGGTTTTTTGGCCATGTTCTTCAAGGATAGTGAGTTTTATCATAGTTTTTATATTTCCGCTTTTTTGATTTTCACTCGATCTTTTTTACATACTTATTAGTTATTTTTGGCTACCGTTATCCAAAACAGATTTGCTTTGCACTCGCTTGTCGATGGGTAGGCCTATATTAATAGTTATTAGCTTATGTGGGTCGACTCTCATTCTTGGAGGCACATCCTCATTGATACTTAGAACTGAAGCGGAGTTAAGCAAGCAATAATGTTTTGAAACAACGAGAGGAAAATTGTGTTTAGGTCCGTTTTTAAAAATTCGCCTCTTCTGGCATTCATATCCGCTGAAGTCATGTTCCTTCCAGTGGTACTGCGCTTGGCAACCTTGACCGATGAGTTATGAATGCAGTGTAAATCTCTTTACGCCAGAGATGATATTGGCGTTTTGTGGCGAATTATGGTCTAGTCGTTGTACTTCCGCTTGACGATGTCCCGCCTTTCCACAACTCGTTTCCCACTCAATTCCGCTTCTTTCAGTGCGTTCATGTGCGCGGCCTGAAATTGTTGAAGGTTATATTAGTTTTTGCGAAAACGTTGCTTGGTAGGCAGAACTCACAAATGAAGATCTTTTGGGCAATACAACCGATCAAGGGCATTCTTAGTCTCGCAAGGGCTAGTTCCACCTAAGGAAACCTTCCTTCTGAAACAAAGGCTGCAGAAGGATTTCTTTCAATTTTTCGTGTGTCGGTGTCCCTTTAGCAATGACCGGTTTTGTAGTCGTTCATCCATCGAAAGTGCCTGATGATGAAACTGTGTCAAGGGCCCGGTAATGGCTTCCTGTAATTTTACTTCTAGATGTGTTCCGATGTTGAGCGCAGTACCTTGCTCCACTCATGGATGCCAGCCACATGGTTCAAGCACGCATTGAAAATGTGCCTTACATGCTCTTTGTTGTTAGTCAGAGCACCCTGGTCTATTGCATAGTACAGGTGCTTTTTTATACTTCGTATCCACGGTTTCAGCACCTCGCAATTCTTTCGTTTAGCGGCCTTAATGCAAATTTCTTCCTGGTTCATCGAAGCATTTTTTAGATACCGTCTGAAGATTTTTGTGGACATATCTGGCCATGTGCCATGGGTCCAGATGCCATTCGATGTTTTGGCGGGACTCCGCGTTGTACAATTCGATCTCTTTCCCGTACATGGCGCTGCGGTCGGTTGAAATCGAGCCAACAGGGATATCCCTCGATCTCAACCACCGCAGCAACCTGCGAAAGCCCTCCTCCATGGCTCCACTGACATTCCTTGAAACGAACTCTCTCTCAGTTTGAGGTGGTTGATGTTTTCCCAGCTTACCTGCCTCCCTGCGGCTCACGACTTCTGTATGGATACAGAGCTTGGTCCTAAGGTCGACGGCGAGAACCTTGCAAAGTTCGGCACTATGGCCTCGCGAATCAAACGCGTCGTCTACGGCGATGTCCCAAGGAGTGGGACATCCTTCGCGCTGAAAAGTTTCAAGCTGATTCCAAGGCACAATTGTTCTTCAATCATTTTACCTCATAGGCCGTTCGTATCTGTTGAATGGTCCTGTTTTCATGTTTCTCATGAACGACTTCTATAGGCGATCTGAGTTCTGTAAAGACTCGCTTGTACGCCTATAATGATGGCAATCCCAGTCCAAGCTCTGTACTCCACTGCGTCAGTTTCTGTAACACACCAGGTAAAACTATTTTGGTTTGAAGAAGCCGCATGTTATTACATTCATTCGCACACCAGTCGTCGTGGCGGCAATGCACGCAAGAGCGTTTTCGAGGTACAACTTGTCGATGCGGCTTGAGTTTATTATATCTTGACCTTCCCATCGCTGGATCTTATCATTGTCTTTCGTGATTGGCGAACGATAGGGGCAGATCCAGATTTTTTCAAACATACTCCTGTCTCGCTAACTTCACAGTCACATCTGGTGAGGAAGAATAGCTCGGGAGGTTTTTGCCCTGCACCAGGAAATTCTGGTCCAACAGCTTTGCTTCAGTCTCTTTCAGGCGGAGCCTTTCGTCGTCGCTTACATATCCAAGTGCTTGCCAGGTGAAAGGTGAGTTCCACTCTAAATAGAATTTTACTGCTACTCTATCTATCTAAAACTTTTGAGCTTGTTGGTTTTATGATTTTTTGACTTCTTTAGTTTATTCTAACCGAGGTTGCTCTTGAGGTTGCCCTTTAGACCAATGGTGTGGTCCTTCCGTCTGTGTCACTTTCCATAGGGTCATCACCCACATCACCGGCCACCTCCACCATCATCACCTAATTAATTTATCAACTAATTGTTCGCGGTCTGTTATTTTTGATGTTGAGGATCACCTCTTGCTCTTGCTCGTCTTGCTCTTCTGGGACGTTTGGAATTTTCCAAGTATGACTTCGGAAATATTTCTTCATATAAAAAGTTCATGAAGCGAGCAGCGTCCGAGACGCGCAATGTAATTCCCTTGAAAAGTATTGTTTATGCTGCTTAGCTTAGAAAAAAGGGATAAAACCGACTGCGAATGTTCTTGTGGCAATATTCAATCTGTTCAGCAAGTGTGCTGGAATTTGAGCTTCGCTCACATATGAAGTATCATCTGCCGTGTTCAACGGTTGCGCACCATTTGCGATCACTTCTGCGAGGAGGTATTGCGCCTGGGAAACATTCTCATTTTTGCTCCATGTAGATCGATGGAGCTTACGTGTTTATGAACTGTGTGACGCAGATGAACTTCTGTGTCTTATTGAACTCATCGATGTATATCTTCAAGAGTTCTTGCGCAACCGAATGGTAGATATGTAGTGCAGCTAGGAAGATCGCATTGTGAGGCTGACTCTTCGACGAGCGCGTTGCAAGGTTCTCATCGATCTTGTTCCCACAAAAAACGCAGAAATGTCTCTTTATCATTTTGCGAAAGTTCGTTTCTGTAAGCAATTTTAGATGCATTTGTTCCTGATAATTTCTGGATGTGTGGATGTGTAGAACAAATTTCGTAATGATATCGTAAGCGATTCTTCTACATTAGCGCGACTTTGAGCTTAATTTTCTGTGAGCTCACTTATGAGGTAAAGTGCCTAGCTAGCATTGTCGTGGCTCATTTCAATTTCTTAGGACCGCTTATGGTGAGTTTAATTCAACTTCTAACGCTTTCTTTAGGTAACGCTATCAGAAATCTATCCACATTTCGCGTAAACTCGTTTGTCAAAAGTTAAATTTTATTTGAGCGGTTCTCATTGAGCTTAGTGTTCACAATTGCAAGAAAATATTGATAAAGCCATTCGAACTGTTCTTAGAATTCTCCTTGCATGATCGTTCATTGAATAGTGATTTGAAGAAATATATTCCTCAATATTGAATGCTCCACCCACTCAGCTGTTTATGATTATGATCAACTGATTTGCTATTTCTGATCTTATCTACTTGGATTCTATGCCTGTTACTGCCAAATTCATATCAGTCCTGAATCTTTCGTACATATACGTATGAATCTCACAAGAATGTAAATGAAGTTCTTTACAACAACATCATTAGTAAAGACATATCCATCTTGCACATGAACAACACAGTACAACAATAATATGGAACTTGATTGACTACAGTTAATAAATATTTACAAACATGATGTGACAATTTCAAAGGACCTTCATCTGCTTTGGAATGATGTAACACAGCTTGCGGCATCAGAGACCAACACATGCTTCAACGTCGAGTCTGCCGCGTCCGCACGGCGAAACCACACATAAGTGAGCAAAAACTGATTATGTACAGAACGTAAATACTGTTCCATTCTTCCATGCAAACAAGTGCAAGTTCAGAATGTAAGACTTATTGTGCTTATATCGATTTGATACCATTTTTATCTTCAAGCTAACTATTCATTCAAAACAAGTTTGATGAAGCTGCAGTGCAAGGATAATGTTACACGTTTTCCCTATGTAATTAATGATAACAATATTTTGCAGTAAAAGTGGTGACAATGATAAGTTCTTACCTTCTATATACAAAACTCCGGGCGAAAATTTTGCAGAAAAGCCCATATTGAGCAGAGACTGTCTCATTTCAGACAATTTCGGATCACTTCAAACAAGCTGAAAAAAAGCAAAAACAAAATTCACGTGAAGTCAAAAATCGACGTTTTTAAAGGACTCACATCAGAAAACTTGTTTCAGCAATAAGACAAATACTCACACTGCAAGACATTAACAACGAGGGAATGTCAAACGACTGAAGGGCGTAGCATCCATGCCATTTTCTGGTTCAACCCCCAGCAAAAGGACGCGCAGAGACCAAGTTAAACTCAATCACCTAAAGTTCGCAACAATTGGAATCTGATTTCCCAGTCTAATCATGAATCATCATGTTCTTCACTCACCTTGCATAGTTCAATTCTTTAGGAAAGAGTCTCTCTAGCATCCTCATCAGAATCAAAATTCCGATTGAGCTCTTGGCAACGTCGAATGCGATATAAAACGAGGAGAAGGACAGATGACTGACCTGATAAGAGTTTTTGAGGAATGAGCAAAGGTAGAGTCGTGTCCTTCCACACTTCATTTACAAACAAAAATAACACACGCTGATCTGCTCGAGATGCCGAGATACGCACTTCCCTGTATCACCATGACGTCCCGTGTTCTGAAAAAATGCAATAAACATCAAACCCGATACCTCTACTTTCCTATAGCTTCAGTTACGCGTGAGGAAGTGAGCGAGAAAAACAAAATTCACGGATTTCTCCTGACGCCACTACGATGGACGCTAAAATGCAGCAACATTAAAGGGCGCGTGGAATGAAGTGAGGGGAATCGCCAACTCGTCCGAAAGCGTGTAAGATTGGCCTGCGCGCACGCGCTTGGGGGCAATTTTTCTTGGCACGGGGGGGGGCACGTCATGCAACCGGGATTGCTTTGTTGGTATATTTGGGGGTAAGAAACTTACTGCATCAAAATTTGGGCTTCTTCAATTTTGCCGATCAACTGCCTTTAAGTGTTCTAGACTACTGCTGTACAAAGTTGTGACAGCTGCAGCAGCAATTGTAAATGTGCTTTCTCTCACCTGAGTTTATGTTCTGATACACAATATTTGCGACATTGCAGGAAGAAGCGGGATTTGGTCCATTTTGTGTCAAAATGAAGGGAGGTATTATGGCCTAGACTTTCAGAATAGGGGGGGAGGGGGAGTTTTAAGAGGTTCGCAAAAGAAATTTTCTGCATGGAGACAAATTGCGATTACTTTCGAAAAGAATTTCATGAGAAAAATAAAGGATGCCTGGATCTTTAAAACTTGGATTTCAGGGGTGTCAACGGTGGCTCAGATTTTTTTAACACTGAAGAATCCAGAGTATGTGCTACAACAACTCGGGAAAGGATAAGAGCAGTTGCGAGTAAAGGAAGTGAATTTGACTCTTGAAAGTGTGCCTGCGCTTCGATCAGGTTAATGTAGAATTCTAATTATGTTGGAAACTCATGGCAAAGAGTAGATAAGATGTTCCACATGCGAAACTCTGAGGCAACCGTTGCAGTAATGTCAGCTCTGTGGAGGAAAAATCCCGAAATTATGTAGGGCCAGACCGAAGACTAGAACGAAATAGTTTGCCTTTTTTTGAGGATAAACTTAAGAATAGAAAAAGCAGAAGGTGCTATCAAAAAGTTTTAGTCATTCTAGCCTTGCTCTATTCTTCTCCCCTAATCTTCAGAAGAAGCAAAAAAAAACTGCGAGGGTAGAGGGGGTGAGAGGAGGAAGGGGGGAGGGGGGAGGGGAGATGGCTGGAAACTTCAGAGATGGCGGGAAGATGGGAAATATAAACATAATTAAGTTTACTGCTCTATATATAATTGCGAGGGGGAGGTACTAGATAGACAGAGATAGAAGAAGCCTATAGGAAGCAGGCAAACATCCACTTACACTTTGCTGAAAGAAGTTCGGGCTTAAAGGCAGTGTCCAGGAAAATATGGACATATGGGGCTCTCACTTGGATCGTAATTTGGGGGCCCTAACTAAGCCACTGCCCAAGCGGCAGCGCAGGTAGTGCTCTAACGGCTGAGATATTCCACTCGAAACTGGACCCCGCGATCGTATTCGCATGGATTCATGGCAGTTTTGCGCTAGGATCCACGCTTCGCGCCATGAATGCAAGCGAGAACGATCCCAGGGTGTAGTTACGAGGCGAATATCTCTGCCGTTAGTGCACTACCTGAGCTGCCGTTTGGGCAGTGGCTTAGTTGGGGCCACAAAATTACTATCCACGTGAGAGCGCCATAGTTCGGATTTGCCTTAACGCTGCGTTTAGGATTGTAGGACTCTAGAAGGGTGGGATGGGACATGAAATTTGAGTCGGAATTAGTTAAGAGCCTATGAGTTTCTTTGGAAGTTTGTACGAAAGGAGCTAACTTAAAACTAATCGGTCCACGTGATAGAAAGACTTATGGTTTACCTTTCGTTAGGGAAAAGGTACGCCACAAAACTTCAAAATTTCTGACCTTGGAACACATCCTACTTCGCACACACAGCTCCGCGAAACGGCGCTTTGGACTGGTAAGACAGTAATCGCAGCGACACAAGCCTACTCAACTCTACCAAATCTCGATTGTTTCTCATAACTATCCTACTATTTCCTTCACAATATGAATTCAGAAAATAAGTGCTAACCCCAACCATTACTGTTGCACTGCGGCGCAATACCTAGCGAAGCTCATTCCATTGCTCAGAGGAGGAGAGAAAATGACTTTGAACAGTCTCCACGTCAAAGCAAAAAAAATAGCGTGACGTACTGGTTGATGGGGTGACGTAAAGGTGCGCGCTGCTTGGATGTCAGTAACTGAGTGAAGTAGGAAAAATACGTGATCCAAAGCCAAACTTCCTGATATTTCATTTTATTTCTCCATCACGTTTTGCCAACGTGTTGTTGCATGCTGCTAATATACAGGGTTGGGGGAAAGTCTTTGAACAGTTTTTGATGTCATTGTATGTTCGGATCTTCCACATATTCTTGCATGCTAATTATATGTATTTGCTTCTTTTCCCTTAGTTACAAGCCCTCCAAAAACTGGACTACTAGCTTCATTTCTATCGAAGATATGCCTTTTGGAACAGAGCGAGCGTGGTGGAGAAGATGCACGAGGAGAGGATGGCTAACCAGCAGATTGCGCGGGTTCTCCAAATTTCACAAATCAGCGTCTTTTCCACGTTGCCTCGTTTCCAGAATATAAACAGCACCCAGAACTGCTGTACGAGTGATAAGTTGGCTACTGCGGACACTCACAAAATTCTGAAGATCGTTCGCCAGCGCCATCGTCGCAATCCTCGGAGAAGCTTGATTGAGCTGGGTTCAAAGCTGTTCATCTTTGATGAAAAAGTCTCCGACATCGTGGAACAAGGCCTCGCTATGAAGCTTTTTAGGATGCTAAAATTTTATGCTTTTTGGGAGGACACCAAGCTGAACTGACTGCGCAGATGCCATCGACTGCTTGAACGTCTCTCCAAGGCACGCCACCGAACGATGCTCTTTTCTGACGTCAAAATTTTTACCGTGAGGAATGTTTTTTATCACCAAACAACAAAATCATCACCTAGTCGCCCCTAGAAGTCAATAGCAGGGGTTGACTCGCAAAAGGAAAGCTTCATCCGGCTTCTGTAATGGTTTGCGCGGCGATCGCTTCCGACAGCAAGATGGCGACTTTTGCGTCCCAGGGCATCGAGGTGGACACCGCTACGCACGTGGATAGCATCCTGAAGAAGGGTTTGTTGACCTGGACCATTAACCATTTAGCCAGGAGCGATTCATGTCCACAGCAGGATAGCGCACCTGCGCACAAAGCGAAGTTTGTTCAAACATGGCTCCGAAGCAACATCAAGGAGTTCATTACTCCTTCGGAATGGCCTCCAAATGGCCGGATCTGAATACCCCCGACTACAGTGTGTGTTCAGTTTTTTAAGCCAAAGCCTGCACTCACCTACGCATGACTGTGGAGTCTCTGCGACGTGCTCTTCAGAATGCGTGGGAAGAAGTCTACATGGATCACCTCCGTGCCACCACGGACAGCATTCCCAAGCGTTTCCGAGCTTATGTTCGCGAAACGAGAAATCTTTGAATTGTAAAGTCAGTTTTGTGTAGCGAACAGTTGAGTAAACATCTATTAATTTCATATAATCATCTAGCCTAGCTTCGTCATTACGACAAAAATACCGTGTTCAAAGACTTTCCCCCAACCCTGTAATTTGGACCTCGAATAAATATTCGATTATTCGAATAAAATATTCGAATGAAATTCATTCGGAATTTGTTCGAAAAGTTCAGAATCTCGAATTTATACGATAATCGCTTATTGGAAATTTCTCATTTTCGAATTTATTCGGTTTCTCCGGTATTTAAATTACTTGGTTTTCGAATGTATTCGAACATGCAAATACTTCTAAAGTTATTCGATTATTCGACATTTCCGGGTAAACGAACTACATACGACCCTAGTTGCTTTGTCTCCTTGCGTCCTTTCCCTTCAACTGTGTATCCCGCTTTAATGATTTGCGCTCTTGAAAAGAGCGCTGTGCTGGAACTGTTCTCGGACTTCGGGCTCAGTGTGAACGCAGCCTTAGTAGTCAGGACAGAAAACTGGCATGTAAAGTGGGTTTAAATGATGACTTCCAACTGTTATGTGGACGGGGATCAAGCAAAACCAGATCTGCCATTAGTTCAATATGCGTATGATATGCGCATGATATGCGTCACAGTTTTGATTTCGATATCAGCAAATATCTTGGTTTTTGAAGTTGCCTCCCATTAGGTTGATGCATAACTAATGTATGTTACTTATCCTTAAGCGGCAGAAAAAGTAGGAAAACTCAAGAGACCTATTACTCGAAAGAACAAAGCAAGCCCTAAAGATTCAAAATTCTTAGAAATGATGCAGGAGAAGTTGAGAAGAAAAATCTAAAAAATTTCAGGTGCCCAAAAATCAGGTCTTTTCTCGAAAAATCCTACAAACCTCCAATTTACTTACAAAAATTACTTGTCGCATCAGCTATGCATATGTTTGCTTGCTATTTTTTCTATGGCTAGAAGCGGAGAAAATAAAATTCTACGGGGTGTCCCAAAAAAATGTATCGAACGTTTGATCGTTAATATCTCCCTTCTAAAGAAGTCCTTTGCCTTGCTTCAGGAACCGTTTTGTAGAGCTGGCTTCAACTTAGATTTACAGTATAAAGCGAATCACCCATCTCTCTTCATATTGTAGGATTACGGTAGAAACTTCAAAGAGGGTTTTGAGCATGAAAGGTCATATTTTGCCCCAGAATGGAAACAAAACAACCTGAAAACCTTTACATTAGGCTAACTAGAGTTGCTGATTATAAATGTAAAGTTCCCAATTTATCATGATGCTTCATTGAAGAGTTATGCCAGGTAAGAGGTAGCGGCCATTTTTTCACTGTTTCTAAAAAGTGCGGTTACACCGTTTAGAAAGTTTTGTAATCTTGTGAATAGTTGAGTGTTGAACTCAGCGTCCATAAAAATCCCAATACACAAGTTTTCACATTTTTTTTGAAAAGTTTGAAACGGCAGCTTTTTCCACGTTGACACCATATGTTTCAAGTTTCTATCGTAATCCTACAGTAATGAAGAGAGAAAATGGGTGATTCGTTTTATACTGCAAATCTAAGTT